GCCTCCCTTAGCTAGCCATGTCGGAATATCCTACGTTCTCTCCCTCTCACCTCTGCTTGGAGAGTACAACTCCCACGGCATGCTATCTCTCTATTTGACCAACTCCCACGGCATGCTATCTCTCTATTTGACCAACTCCCACGGCATGCTATCTCTCTATTTGGTCGATTTCTACTCTTTCCAGCCGTCTCCCGAAGCCTGGTAGAGGCTAATACTGTATGCCCTTACCTTAACCTATCAGACTGTTGAAGAAAAATAGCTTCAAAGTTTTAATTTTAGAACCACCATAGAGGTACTAGCCAAGTGTATGTTATCTTTTTGACACACTGTCTAAACGATAACACAGTGATAATGAACGGCCGCATGTAGATATTGTAATAATGAGGGTGATAAATGAGTTAATCATGAAAAATAATTGCATTCCGGAGGTATTACGAATGTCTGGTCGTTCTAAGTCTGGTTATCGTCACTTGATTTGAAAACCATTTAGGTCATCTATAAAATTAGACCCCAACTAATTGCGTAAGACTGTATATATACAATATCTTGAATATCATATATGTTCAACTAATTTTGGCTCAATTGATTATATCATAAGGCGAGACATATGGTATTGAACATTAATTTTATGCCTGTAATGTGGAATTTGATCTCATAGGAATCTGTTATCTCTCTTATTAAAATAAATGAAATATTCAAAAGAATCGAGTGAGTAGAAACAGGCCTGACGCCTGTGAAAATGACGTTCATTTATCACAATGTACGGGTCCATTTCACGCATCGCGGCAACTTCTCATTTCGAATCGGCAAACGGTCTACCATTGCGAATAACGTGCTAGCTTTCGCGTGGCCTCAGACATTACGTTGGAGCTCAATGACATTCAGAAAATTGAAGGGTGACCTTTAAGTTTTAGGTTTCTTGGCTTGAAGCGTGTTTCGGTCGGTGGTATATGCGCGGGGTAGGATTATGAGTTGGCAAACAGGGCTTTGCTTTTCCACAGCAAGTAATTTTTATGGATGACATCAGCGAGCGCATTAATTTTCGCCTGATTTTGGAAAAAAAAACACAAGAAATTTTGTTGCCTTCTGACAGTGGTCAACATGCCGAAAATGGACAAAGATGTCTGTTGCCATGCCGGGATGGCAGATAACTATGAAAAGGGGAGACTAGAAAAGGCTCTGATTTAATGTTTTGTTTCTTACTTTGATACAGTGATATGTGATGCTGGCTGTGTATATTTGATGTTCCCACTGAATAAAAACCATTTGTACAATGATTGAGTCAAAATTTGAAAATGTAGGAACCTTGTTTTTTTCGGCCCGCCTTTTTTTCGCCCGCTCGCATTAGATTGGGAGTCTGCGGAGGATGTCATCCATAAATTATAAAATTTACTTGCCGTAGCCTAAACGATTTATCAATGACTCATGAGTCATCCTGGTACTATTGTACAGATTTCTGACCAATCTTTAGAGTGTTAAAAGTACAGGTCATATTTTGCAATACAAGTTCTCGTTTGTTACGTCAATTCCTTCCTCAAATGTGGCAAATCGTAATGAATAAAAACACTTCCCTGATGCCTGACTGAAGTCTCCGATGTCAGTGGAGTCGTGTGACGTAATAACGACAGAGCGTTCGGCTTGGAACCAATAGGTCCCGAGTTCGAATCCTGCCATGCTACCTTGTGCCCTTATGAAAGGCACTTAACATGAATTTCCTCACTTGACTCAGGTGAAAATATCTGTTGTCCGTTCATGCGTTTGTCTGCGTTGGTAGCGGCATAAGCATTAGTTGAAGGTGTTCAAAAACTCGTATTTCCCCAGAACTATCGTAGACTGGAACTCGTCGCTACCAAGCACAGTTGGGGCATCATCACTAGAAAGCTTTAAACAACTCCTGCAATTAAATGTGCAAAGATTGAGTGTAACAAGTCGTTCGGTGTGATATAGCTAGCTGCCGCCGCGCCGCGTGCCTGCGAAGCTGGTGTGTTGCGTCGAAGGACGGTTATACCGGCTATACTGATGCAGAAGTGTGCCGTCGCCATGCCTTGTAATGAATGTTGGGATGATTTACCAGTAGTTTCTTAGTAGTTATTAGTAGTTCTATATGTACTAATTGTCTGTTTTTTATACCATATGTTTCTTCTGTTCCTGCAATTAGCCCTCGGGCAAGAATGTGCAATAAACAATTTATAATTCCCGTAAAGAATTTCATCAGGTTGGAAGATATTTAGGGTATAGAATCTTCTTACACAACCAGTAAGGTTCTCACCTGCTTACGTTTCGATGTCTATCAGACACCTTCCTCAGAGCTTCTGACGGGACGAGGGGGGATACAAGCTCAGCCACGTTTGGGATTGCATTCTCGCCGCAAAAGCGCCACCTACTTTGGCGATAAAAAGCGGCGAGTTGCAGAACTCCAGTCAGAAGCTCTGAGGAAGGTGTCTGATAGACATCGAAACGTAAGCAGGTGAGAACCTTACTGGTTGTGTAAGAAGAAAAAAAATTCTAAACCCACAAATTATAATTGTTTAAAAAAAAAAAAACCTCTCATGTCCTCCCCCCCCCCCAGGTGTGTCTGACGAGGTGAGGGGCAGGTTCAAGGCTAACGACGCGGCGCTGGTGACGTCAGTGGCCGTGGAGGGGGACACGGTCACGTGGTCTACCGGCACCCAGACCGGCGTCACCATCTCCAAAAACACCTACAGCTGGGGACAGGAGTTCGAGGAGGCTTCACTGGACGGCAAGAGGCGCATGGTACTCACGAGTTTCATTTTCCTCCTTCTAAACAAATGTAGAACATTTTCATTCAGTCATTTTATGTACATAAATTGAATATAAACTGTTTTCACTGTATGGGCAGGCAGGTATCAGGCAGGTGCTGGTCGCCATTTTGGTGTCCCTATTTGCATTTCAACACATCGTAGCTCAAGCTAGCTTTTTTATATTTATTTCAATTTTTACTACAAAACAAGGCTCATAAAATCACTCACATACACATTATTGTGTTTCATCAAGTTTTTAAGTATTTCCTCTGGTATCCTTTTCTTCGAGCTGACAGCTGACGTGTCAGAAGGTTTTTTTATTAAATAATCATGTCCTAAAACACTCGGGCTACCGATATGCAAATTGCGACACCAACATGGCGGCGGACGCACCAATATGACGCCAAACATATTTTATTATTTCGTCTCAGTGAAGATGATTCGGAAAGCATTTACTTGCGGCTACATCTTGCTACCGGTACTATATCTCATTTGTTTTCCTATCCTGGTATTGTCCTTATACAGACCGTACACACGTACCAGGGAGGTTCTAAGATCCTGACTGTCATTCCCAACTTCGACGGCCAGGGCACACCCATGAACATGACCCGGGAAGTCGTCGATGGGAAGAAAATCGTGGTAAGTAGTACTGGTAATTCCTGATTTTTTTCACTGTACTGTTATGTTCACTGTTTTCACTGTCACTTCTGTACCGTGAACTTATCATTACAGTTAACAGATAATTCCTGGACTTTCCCTTTCCTGCACCTGTCACCACAGTGAATATATAGTTCCTTGAACATGTCCATTTTTCTCAGACCGTGAACTTTTTTTACTAACGTGAACATATAACGCGAATTACATGGTGTAAAAGCGCCGACTAGCAGCTGACTTACGATTAGCACCATGCAATGTGAAGGTTTTTCTTGTTGTTCGTTTTCAATACCTTTATCAGGCTCCGGGAAGCAGCTGGAAAGAGTAGAAATTAGACCAAATAGACAGATGATATATGCCAGGGGAGTTAGTTCGCACTGAGAGAACATTTTGCCGAAACCTGTCAAGAGTCGTTGCGGGTTTCGGCTAAAGCAAACTGTGCTCTCAGCGCGAACCAACTCCCCTGGCATATCATCTGTCTATTGGGCCGATTTGTACTCTTTTCAGCTGCTTCCCGAAACCAGTTAGGGGCTAATGTTTTCGAAGTGAGAAAGAATCCGCCTCCTTTTTAAATTCTCCTGGTTCAGAGATAAGGCCATGTTGATTTGGTTATATGGACGACATCCTCTGGGAACCCCAAAACTGATGCGAGCGTGCGAATAAAAAAAAAGTGTGGCCAAAAGAAATGTTGCTTTCATTATGAAATCTACACGGTTTTGAAGGTTGAACAAATGACACAGAGTATGGTATGGCGAATAATCTACTCTACAAATTCATGTCTTTACATTTTCGTCTTTTTGTTTGATTTTGGTACTCAACGATATTGGTATCGTTTTCCAATATTTTTTTTTTCAACTTACGGTATATATTTGCTCATTTTGCAACACTGTTTTGTACGATTTACAGTATGGTTGACAACTTTTTTTTTTACGGCCGAAAATTCATGCGCGCGCGGATGTCATCCAATAAAATCAATAACTTGTATAGAGCCCTCGACATCGCGAATTTGTTTTACACCGACTTAGAATAGATCACCGGTACCATGTAAAGATTAATCCCGTCTCTTTTCAGATTATCTCTTACAAGGGGATCACCGCTAATCTGACGTATGAGAAGGTTTAGGAACATTCCGAGCTCCAGACGCAAGGCAACGCTTCCAGCTCAACCACGATAGTACTGCGCATATATACAAATATACCACTTGCTACTAGCTAAGGACAATGTACTGTGTAGGAAGTTATACTGTAATGTGTCAACACTTTGGCCATGTTTCGGAGAACAGAATTATGGGTAACTCGGGTTGCCATGACAACCTGTATGGAGCGCATGCGAACTTCGTCTTTACCACGTTTTGGAGAACAGAATTATGGGTAACGCGGTGGGGGGGCATGTGACACATTCCCATGGCAACGCGTATGGAGCGCATGCGTACTCTGTCGTTACCATGCAGTCTGTGTTGTCATGGCAATGACTGGCTTGTCACCAGCGTTACCCAAGTTTCTCCCTTTTTTCCCAGCATGCACAATGATCCGAGAAATAACCTAAAAACGCTCTTTATAATGATAGGGTAGATAGATTCTATGTGCGCTTACTATTCTCTATATTTCCGAAACGCTAGATGTTCTTTACAGCTACTGTGGCTATGCCATTTCTATAGATACATGTACTTAATTAAGCTAAGCGAAGAAAACTTCCGTGTTATACCAATAGAGGGTAAGGTTTGTATCATACCAGTAGTATATCATAGATACCTAACATACATTTTTTTATTATTTGGCACCACTAAGTAAAAACGTAAAAAGAAGAGGTTTGTGTCACCCTCTTTCTTATTATATTTAATACTAGTCATAACTTATTTTACTCTTTGGTTAACCATTTCTCATATCCTTCATTATAATATCTGTAGCCATTTTTGATTCCTTTGAATAACTAGTATAACTCATACGAGTCATAATGGCTGCTTTAACAGAGAAAACCGCTAGATGGCAACTCTGCATTAACACACGTTAGCAACGAAATGGCATTTCACGCCAGGTTTCTTCTATGTACTTAGTGTTCGTGCCATTATATGGCCAAATAATGTTTAAAAGTATTACCTTGAAGCTAAGGTGTCGTGGTGCTAGTAGTTGTACTGTCGCTATTGTAACATCAATTAGTTGTATGTTTTCAACCTAAGACGGATCTTTGCACGTATGTGTTATAAATTTACAGTAGTTAAGACATAGCTCTATGTTAGTTGATATCAAGAAAGATATAGAAGGAACGAAAATGAGAACCGCCAGCTATTTAATATGGTTGTTGTCTTTTGTTTATTTTGTTATAATGTATCTAGGTTTCCATGTGAGTCTTAGAACAAGAAATCAAAAAAGGTATTATGTCATATATTGTTTTTGCCGAAGACATTGCAAATTGAAACTTATCAAAGCACACACACATACACAGACAAGCCGACATACAGACACGCGTAGCCCAGGGCTGCGCGTAGCCGGTATGCACCCCCGTCAAACAGTCACTGTGCCTCCTTGCGGGACTAGTGTAAACTGCAGCCTGCAAGGGTACTACCACCTGTTACCCCAAAGGTATCAGATACTAGTACTTATGCAGACAAATATTGGGGATTTGCCGCAAGAAATGTACTTCTTAGCGGACCAACTCCCCCGGTATGTTATGTTGGGCCAACTTCTAACGACTGTTTCCGAATCCTGATAGAGGCTAGGTCATAGGCCTATAATATCTTTGGTAACAGCATAAGGCCATACCAAGTAAATTTTATGGATGACATCCGCGCGCGCATTGATTTTGTCCTGTTCTTAGAAAAAAACCCCAAGAAATCCCGCTTCCTGTAACTATGACCAAAGAGTCACGACAGTGCCGCAAATCACCAGATTGATGTGAAACCCGTAACGCGAAGAAAGTGTCTATTGATATATATTGAAAGTGTATATCAATAACAGAAAATTTGCACTATTGACAGGACCATCCTGTCAATAACAGAAAAATTTTCACTGTCCACTGTTCCACCTGATTTATTGCTGTTTTGATGATGAATAAAAGACTTCTTGCTTGTTACACTGTGTCACCTCATTCAATTTGTGTCCTAACATTTGTCGTCTCTTAGTATATTTCTAATCTAGGCATCTTGTTTTTTAGGGCCCTTCTTGCTTTCTTTCGCCCTCTCGCATCAGATTTAGGGTCTCCAAAGGACGTCATCCATAAGATTAACTTGGTGTGGCCTAAAGAGCATAATATATGCACCGTGCGTTTGCACCTACATTGTTAATCGCCAGGGGGCAGAAATTCCAGGGCGAGTGGACACAGTTCCACACGAGTGAGTTACAACAATAAAGTGTCTTCAAAACAACAATCCCGTTTCTTGTCAGCGACCCAAGTTGTAATAACGTGTCTTTCAAAACGTTAATTTGAATCCTTTTCTTTGAGTTATAGTCTATCCATAAATGTAATGAGAGCGTTTACATGAATTCTACAATTAGCGTGCACGGAAAGTAAGCAAAAACAACTATAGGTTCTGAACTGGAGTTCTTCTTATTTTCTTCAGAATTTGAATCGTGCGGACAGTAACAGTAGTTCCGTAGCCTCCACCAGGCCTTTCTACGGGAATACGAATCGTAGAACTCGGAAAAAAGAGAAAAAATTGGCCAAGGGAGTCCGGCCGCAGGGAGGTAGTTTCTTTCCCTCTAACTGCACGGCCAGTCAAACCTACAGGGCGACCAAACTCGCAAATATTCTCCTATATATAGCGTGGTTAGTCTGGTAGAGACTAGTCGATCCGAGTGTCAGCAGTCGGGAAGAGGGAACTCGAAAAAAATGGAGACAAACCCCAATATTGTCATTCCTACCTTAACGTTGTTTATTACTGATAACTTCTCTCCACTGCTTCTCCCGCCGATGCTAATTGCCGTACGGTCGTCGCCTTTTGAAACGGTTGATGTCATATCGCAGATTAGCTAACTTAAGTGTATCAGCACGATCCATCCACACCGTAATGTTTTGTGGCGTAGAGGGTTAGGGTGGGTATAGGCTAGGGTGTAGGTTAGGGTTTTAGAGCTGCACTTTTGGACCCGGCTTCATGTCCGAGCTTGTGCTTTTGTTTTTTTCTTCACTAGTATTTACAACTCTACATGATTCTCCCTTATATTTTCAATTAGAATATTGCTTTTTATAGTCTATATTACTTTTTATTCGTTTTTGGACGATCGGATATGGCATTGACCATTCAGCGAAATGGCATTGACCGTTTCAAATGGCATCAACCGTTTACGAGACGGAAAATTGCCCCGCCTACCTGGCGAGTACAGTCTCTTCTCACCTTTTATCCAGCACAGGTGTTACTGTCACTAACTCTTGACAGTTAGATTGATGAGTTTTCTTTCATCTTTCCGTATGACCTAGTATTTTATCTGATCGATAATGGATTCTTAGTAACTGATCGCCACGCCAACTAGCCTGGGTACCATCCGGATTTTCGCTCCGCAACGCTCGAAAAAATAATTTTTTCGAGCGTTTCGGAGCGAAAATCTGGATGGTACCCAGGCTACACGCCAGCTACTTGTATATTATCGCATATGTAAGGTAAGCTTAAGGCCACACCAATTTAATTTGTTGGTTCTCGGATTTTTTTCAGAAAAAATATGAAGCGACAGGGCGAAAAAAATGAAAACAGGTGTAAGCATCCTATTATGCAAATGAAACAATAGGAGCCATGAAGTCAGCACAAAAGGTTGGGTTAATATTTAAACAATAAATTTTGAACTTTTAATCAAACCTTTGATAGATGGAAAAACTGTAACAACTAAGGGGAAGAGGACTTTCCTTAACGGTTGGGGGCAAAATGTAAGCATTTTAAAGCTAATTCAGAATCAGAATTTTTTTCAAATCAGACAAAAAAATGAAGAGGCGAAACAAGAACCAACAAAATAAATTGATGTGGCCTAAGGTTGATTAAGCATATTCAACCTCAATATACAGTACACTAAACGAGTGTCAATTTTGAATTGACTCTAAAACAGGAGTTCAAGGACTGCCGACAAATCATGAAACAAACCAACGCTTAATTTATATATTAAACGTATACGTTCCAAACATCGTCTAAGTTACAAAAGATTGATACATCAAAACAGGTATTTCAATTTGAAATGTAATGCTTAGGGCTTTAGAATCCTAACAAGTTAGAATTTGAGGTAGCATTCAAAATACAGAAATCGTATGATATAAATCTCACCTGTTACTTTCAATTAGCCCCAGGGAATTTGCAATAAACCTATCATCATTATTATAATTCATGACTGAGAAGACATGCGGTACACCTACCACGGCGACATAGCTCTCTACGAGAGTTCTTTTGTTGTTGTATTTAGGGGTATAACTATATTTCACTATGTAAATATGAATATCATGACATGCAAAATGCTTTAAACCAATATAACATAGGCATAGTTCTTTCATTGAGTTTTAACATGGGAAAATACTGCTTCATGAGAAGGCAATTTCATATATAGGAGACTAGTCAAATGCTTTAGATCAATATAACATAATTCCATCATTGAGTTTTAACATGGGAAAATACTGCTTTATGAGAAGGCAATTTTATATATAGGAGACTAGTCAAATGCTTTAGATCAATATAACATAATTCCATCATTGAGTTTTAACATGGAAAAATACTGCTTCATGAGAAGGCAATTTTATATGTAGGAGACTAGTCAAATGCTTTAGATCAATATAACATAATTCCATCATTGAGTTTTAACATGGGAAAATACTGCTTTATGAGAAGGCATTCTTATATATAGGAGACTATAATACTTTGCATTTGAAACTATTCTGCTACTTTGTAGCAAGTTTTAAGCTCTACTTATCGTAAGGTCTTTGAGAAGTCTATTTTTTAAGAAGTTTCAAACCTTGTGCCGACGCCTTGAACATCACAAATCCGTCTCGAATTGGAACTAGCTACTTATTTGGTTGTCCATGTTCTGACACGCCGTGCGTTGTACAAACCGTTTGCTCCACTGTGATTGGCGCATTGTCAAGACGATTCTAACTGGTCCGTACCTCACAATACAGTCTCTAACTGGAGAAAGCCATTTGATCGGTCCTGTTCTGATCGAATCCAAGACATGCCGTATGATTGTGCGTTGCAGAAACCGTTTACCCTTTGCTCCACTGTGATTGGTGCATTGTCAAGACGATTCTTACGGATCTGTAGCTCACAAAACAGTCTCTAACTGAAGAAAGCCATTTGATTGGTCCTGTTCTGATCGAATCCAAGACACATCGTCTGCGTCGCTGTGGTTGGAGTGATTTTGAGTCCGTCTGGGAGACTCAAACTGGTCCGTACACACCGAGCCGCTCTGGTACCCCCCGTCGCTAGTGGAAGAGACCACGTCGGGCTCGACCTCTTCCTGACTCCCGTACAGATTCTCGTCGTCAGGTTGGATGTTGTAGAGGAGCTCGAAGTTACTGACGATGATAGGCACCGGTAGGGCTATAGCCAACATCCCGGCAAACGCGCACACCGAACCCACAAGTTTCCCAAGAAGCGTCTTCGGTGAAACATCGCCGTACCCGACCGTCAACATTGTTATCAAAGACCACCAAAACCCGTCCGGAATGCTCTTAAATCTCGGTTCAGGGTCTATCTGTCCTGTGAAGTATATCAACGAAGAGAAAAGGATGGTTAGTATGGAGAGGAAGAGTATGAGCGACCCGATTTGTGAGAGGCTTTTTAGTACAGTCTTCCCCATGGTCTGTAGCCCTTGGCTGTAGCGAGAGAGTTTTAGAACTCTCAAAACGCGTGTCAGACGCAGCACCTGTAGGAAATATTCAAGTCCTGTCGTTGCCGGTACTCCCGGGATCTCTATTATCAACATGAAAAAGTACGGCACGACGGAAACAAAATCTATGATGTTCATCTTGCCCTTACAGAACCTTACTCTGTCAGGGCAGCACAGAAATCGCACGAAAAGTTCCAGAGAAAACCAGGCGGTGCAGACGGTGTCAATCGCGAAGAACGGATCGTGGAAATCCGTACTCTTCTGCCTGACAGCTTCAGAAGTTTGGAAGCAGGAGACGTTGTTTCCGGTGAAATTTCCCGTCGCGTTTGTTCCGCATGAGTCGGTGCTATTGTGGGTCGTGTTTACATGGCCGGATCGGTTACCGAACCTTGTTCCCAGAGGTCGGCCGAAATTTGACCTGTCCAGTTGGTCAGCAGCCCTCGCGAGTCTGAACTGAGGAAAACTTTCCGTACAAATGGACGCGATGGACAGCAATATAAAAGACACAGACACAAACGCCAACATTGCCGCCCATATCGAGCTATCAGGGTACTCAAACATCAACCAAATTGGCGCTAGATGTTTCTTTTGAGGGAGAACACGAACTTTTCTCCTTTGAAATCCTTCGCTTGCCCTAAACCGCCTCATGACGTCATCGCCTAGTTGGTAGAACTTAATTTCGTCTGTAAACACTTCTATAGGCACCTCCTCTGGTCTTCTGAGTCTCCCAGTACGGTAGAAGTCTACGATAGCCTCGGCGCTTGGTCTGTGTCTGTCGAGAAAGTATTCTTGCCGAGCAGGGTCCCAAAACTTTCGCAAGCGACGCGGGCATCCAAGAAGCGTCTTCGGATACCTGTCCAGAACTCGGGCGGTAACTTCGAATGTCATCCCCGCTACGTTAAATGTCACGCGTTGGGCGGGGTTCGGCCACTGCAGCTCCGCAGACATCGTCGCGAACGTTCCCGGTAGTCCCTGGCATCGACGGCGTACCGTGTTCTCGGGCTTCCTCCCTACGCTTCCGTGGTCCTCCGCGTCAGGTGTGACCCCACGCCGCCATGTTGTTCTGTCTGCCGGGTTCGTACTAGGACTGTAGCTTCTTGCCACAATGATATGCATAGTAAAAACCGTTTCCCCCCAGGCTACCTGCGCTCAGCAGGTATAAAGAGATGTGTACGCACTGTCCAAGTCTTACCCCAAACTTACAACCTCCAGTATCCTTGTAGAAGCCATAACAAACAGTCGCTTAGAGGAGAAGAAACAAACAAAATACACCAATTAGGTTGTTCGAAATCTTTAATTGGGCGAAGGCGTCCTCTGTCATTAAGGAAAATTGCTGAGATATGGTCACCATAAATACAGGCTGTCTGACAGCAGTGACAGGGTAAGCGGGTCACCAAGCGTCCGTCCCTCGACAAACCTGTCGGACAGGTTTGCCTCGCTGGGCCGCTGGGATGCGGTTCGCAGTTTGGCGGTATGCCTGTATCTGTATCTGTGTCTGTATCTGTATCTGTATCTGTATAGTCAGTATAACCGCCCTTCGGCGTAACACACCAGCTTCGCAGGCACGCGGCGCGGCGGCAGCTAGCTATATCACACCGAATGACTTGTTACACTCAATCATTGCACATTTAATTGTAGGAGTTGTTTAAAGCTTTCTAGTGATACATGCCCCTACTGTGCTTGGTGGCAACGAGTTCCAGTCTACGATAGTTCTGGGGAAATACGAGTTTTTGAACACCTCAATTCTTGGTTGATAACTCTGATATTTGAAGTCATGACTGTTTCTCGTTCTTTTCTGGGCTGGTATCAGATACTTAGTGGTTGGTACATCAATCAGTTTATTAGTCATTTTGTACATCATGCACAGTCTGGACATTCTACGTCTGTCTTCCAGGGACCCCCACTGTAGGTTTCTTTCCGTTTCATTTCCGTTACACTAGCACCCCTTTGATAGTTATTCGTGCAGAATCTTGCAGCTTGGCCTGGCCGTTTGAACCTTTCGATTTTTGGAACTTCGCCAAAGGATGGTTATGTCGTTACCCTGAGACTAGACTGTGCTTATTTTTTTGTATTCCAACATGTAATCACAAGACGTGGTGACGGCACACTTAAGCTTTTTCAACTTATATTAATGCCGCCCCCAACACAGGGGACAATACAATACTCATTTTCACCTGAGCGAAGTGAGGAAAGTCGTGTAAAGTGCCTTTCCCAAGGGCACAAGATAGGTGGCATGTCAGGACTCGAACCCGAGACCACTTGATTCCGAGTCGAGCACACGACCCCTGTTCTTATTAATGGCGCTCATTTTGATTTTAGTAAGGCACAAACTTGTTGTCTGTCTATTTTTTTAAAAACAGAATTCACATTATACAAAAAATAACATTTTTTAGGAAGGTTTGCTTTCACTGCAACCTAGAAACAGCAAGATTTTTAAGGTATGCCTCACATGAGAAAATAATCAATACAGATTTTGTAAAGGTGTGTCCGCATAAATCATCGAGGACAACTATAATTCCTTTCTTGATTCTCGATTAAAGAAGTTCTTGACTTGTAAGAAGAAACTTTCTTGCTTACAAAACGATCCTTTGCAGACAAATAAAGCTTCATTTGCATGTTGAGATGTCGAGCTATGCGTACCGATCAATCTTCTATGACGACCTGTTTACGCACTATGACTTCGACGCCCCAGGACAAAACATTTGCGAATCTACTGCACACCATGTAAGGCCACACCGACTTAATTTTATGGATGACATCCGCGCACGCATTGATTTTCGCCTGTCGCCCTCAAAAGAAAAAAAAGATCACGTCCACCGAGGCTCTGTCCTGGCTCTAGGCCTGGGTAGTCCATGGTAGTCAGCGACAAAACGGAGCCGAGCACCCAGGCTACCGAAGCTCCACGACTCAAGAACTCAGTACATACCGTACAGGACCGATTCATAAATTCCACAAGAAGCCAGCATGTGCCGGCTTGTCGTATACGTCGCCAAGTACTGTCGCGAATTCACAATACCAGCTTTGTATTCCTGTGGTTTAGTAGCATTTTTATTTTTGGCCGGATTTTTTTTTTATTCGCTCGCGCGCACTAGTTTGGGGGTCTTCAGAGGATGTCATCCATAAAATTAAATCGGTGTGGCCTAAACAGTTAAACAATGATTTATACATCTTCTACTGTAGTACATACACAAAAGGAAATAATCTTATATCCTCGTTACAACATGCCTTCAAATTATAGGTTAATCGTCTAATTACAAAGTTGACAAAGAAAGGGATATAGTAATCGGCAGGGGAGCTGAAAAGCGTCTAGTTGTCTCTAACACAATGATACCTTCTTTCGTCGACCTCCAAGCAGATCCTACGGTGGTATAAGGTAGTATGGCCGTCGGTGGGGTCGTGTGGCGTAGTGGGCGATTCGGAACCTAGAGGTCCCGGGTTCGAGTCCTGACATGCCACCGATCTTGTGCCCTTGGGAAAGGCACTTTACACGACTTTCCTCACTTCGCTCAGATGAAAATGAGTATTGTCCTGTCATGTATTTGTCCCCTGTGTTGGTGGCGGCATTAATATAAGTTGAAAAAAAAAACTTGAGTGTGCCGTCACCACGTCTGGTGATTATATGTTGGAATATAAAAAAGGTAGTATCCACAGGCCATGCAGTTATCATTAGTGAGAAGTTTATTGCAAATCCAAGCCCGAAGGCTAATTGCAAGTTACACACATAAAATAACATTGAAACAGAGTATAAAATAACTTCAAAATGTACATCATGAAATCTAATTGACTAAAACTATTGCTATGTCTAAAACTATGAATGAAGGGTTTGACTTCTCTTCTGTAAACCATGGAAGACGTAATGTCCCACTTTTTCTAAAATCTGTGGGTTTTGGGAAGTTAAAAGAAGAAAAATTTTTGTTTGTAATAATAAGTTTTGGGAAATTGGAAAAAGTAGGTTCTGCTTGACCGAATATTATCGTTTGTAACGTGTCGACGCCACCCTAAATGACATCAACGGTTGAAGTTTGAAACAAACATTTTAAATTATTACCATGGAGATATATAAGATAAATCACTTTCTTTTCAAGCATCAGATTTTAAATACTAGTAGTAAAACAGACACATTCTGTGTCAATACGAAATCTCTAGTCCTCAAAAATTGTTACAGGCTTCCAGTGCAGTTTTTAGGGCTTGGAAACCCGATTTTTCGAAGTCAACATTCTAGTTATTTATCTACATATTGAGTTGAAACCACACTGTCCCGATGTATATTGACCCACATGGACCCTCAATTCTGACGAAAAATGGTTAATGGAAGGGCCCTGATTTTTTGGGTACCACCCAGAAAATAAAGGACTCATCTTGGGGCTTGTTTAAATACCCAAAGTATGAAATACTGATTTAATTGTGCCAATGTGAAGCAGTATGTGTCAATATCACAAGGATTGCCTTATTCAGAATATTATCAGTTTTGGTATCCCGAAATCGCATTGGATGCCTTTAGGAGCAGATCGGCTCTCGTTTGGCTAAAATTAGAACACAAATTCAGCACAGACAACAACTACCCTGTGTTACACAATGCCTGAGACCTGAGGCTAATAGACCTATCTCATACACACTAGTAGCTCTGACCAGTTCAGCCAAAGCTTAGAGATACAAAAGTAGCAATATAAAGTTGCCTATACTTGACCGGCATCCCGGACTTTAGTAAATGTGCGTGATTATTTCTCTCGGCGATTATCTAGTACATATAGTACGTGGTAGTATCCGTACCAATGGCGACGATAGAGTCTTTAGACTATACTGTAACAATCTCTAATATATAGTCGGCACACCCGCCCTTCTGGGTGGGAACCTAGCTTGTTGTGACCTTCGAATTCCTTTACTTAAGGTTCACTGCCTACTTGAGTTGTCTGTCTGGTACATGACAGGTAACAGGGAGCTAAGATGGAAGAACTTAGTCACAAAGACGACATCGAAGACAAACTTCAAACTAAAGATGGAGTCTGCGATCTCTGTCAATCTGGAGAAGACACATCAGTGCTTCCGTGTCGTCACCGATTTTGTCATCCATGCCTGGGGCAGTTACAAGTGACAGAACGAGAGGGGGAGTTAACTTGTGTAGTGTGCAGTTCTAATGCCCCCCTCACCCAAAATGGCGCTCGACAAGAAGACGAAAAAGGCTACTCGCAATCGAAGCTCCCAGGGATTAACACAATTGACGGGACAGCCGAGACACAGTCTACAGGACAACAGCAACCGGAAAGGTCCAAGCATTCAGAGCAGAAAATTGCAACCTTTAATTCGGTACAAAAGGAGCTACCCTCTGAATCGGAGGCACCGAATGTTGACCATAGAAATGTGGTGACAACAGGTAAGCCAAAAGAGGGACAAGTAGAAGACGTAGAATATTTCTTGTGCTTAAACAATTCGGACACCAAGAATTCGCCCAAAGGTACGGTGGAGAAAGAGTTGCTGCCTGAGCCAAAAGAGACTGACACAACAGAATATGAGGATACAAGAGAGTCGGGTGACATCTATCATTTTCAAGATTTAAACATTCAAGATGTAATGGCAGAATCTGAAAGGGAAAGTGAGAAATCGTATTCTGGATCGACGTTACTTAAAACAGCAACGACAGCAAAATCAGCAAAAACAAAAACAACAACAACAACTACAGCAGTGACAGCTCCAAAATCAGCAGCAAAAACAACCACAGTAGAAAAAACAGCAGCAACGTTAACTACAACACCAGCAGCAAAAGCAGCAGCAGCAACAGCAGCAGAAATACCAACAATAGTTTCAGAGAAAACAACAACAACAGCAGAAGTAACAACACCAGCAGCAAAAGCAACAACAGAAAAAACTACACCAGTAGCAGCGAAAACAACAACAGCAGAAGTAACAACACCGGTAGCAGCAAAAACAACAGCAGAAGTACCAACAACAGTTGCAGAGAAAACAACAACAGCAGAAGTAACAACAACGCCAGTAGAAGAGAATACAACAAAAGCAGAAGTAAGAACACCAGTAGCAGAGAAAGCAACAACAGCAGAAGTAACAACACCAGTAGCGGCAAAAACAACAGCAGAGGTACCAACAACAGTTTCAGAGAAAACGACAACAGCAGAAGTACCAGCAACAGTTGCAGAGAAAGCAACAACAGCAGAAGCAACAACAACAACAACACCAGTAGCAGAGAAAACAACAACAGCAGCAGCAACAACAACGACAACAGCTACAGAAGACCCTGCCAGACAGGAAGAGGCCCCGAGAAGATCCCATCGTTTGAACTCCGAGGACCGTAAATACATTCTAGTTTCGAAAAAGGGACGCAAAAGTCAGCAGGGCGAATCGGGAGATTCGAAGTTACATGTCAGATTTGACATGGCAGCATCGACAGTTATATATGGACAGATAGGTCCAGAAGAAATGACAGAGAGTCTGCAACATGGAGATGAAGACAAGAAGGGAGTTAATATGAGTTCTCCGGGCAGAGATATCGGAACACAGCCCAAAGAGTTGTCGTTACACCACAAGAAGGGGACATGTAAGTGCTCGAGGGGTGAAGTTAAAACCGTGCACTGTAGCGTCTGCCAGAAATATGTCTGCCTTCACTGCGCCACACACGAACACAAAGACCACTCCGAGGAAGAGATACAAGAAGCTCTGGACAAGGAGAAAGACAAGATAAAGCACGGATTAGACATCGCCAGCACATGTGCCGAAGCACATCACAAGAGAGTCGACGAACTCGCAGAATCAGAGCAAAATCTTTTGAACCAATTTGAAAACATGACCATAAGGATCGCCGACCATTCAGAAATTGCTCTTAGTTTGATAAACGAGCGGGTTGAAAGCATCGTTCAAGCCGTACAGGATGAAGCAGAGAAGGTTCGAGAGTCCGTTCGTAGTTTTAAGGCTGAAAGCTTGGAAGATCTTATTGCAGCTTTCGAGGAACGACGGAAGAACATAGCCGAAGAACGCGAAGCTGCGCAAGTAGCGTTTGCAGCGTCTTCAAGCTACACTAACATCTCACGAAAGATACTCGAAGATGGCAGCTCCGCAGTGGTGCTGACTTCATCCAACAGCCTTTCTGAAGTCTTCAAAACGTTGAAATACCCACATGAGAAGACGCCTGTGCCAAGTGCAATACCGCCGGATTACGACAGGCGTCTCTGGTTCATGGCGCCTCAAGTGGACCTCAATGGGGAGATACAGAAATGGTTCGGCAAAGTCGTAAACGGTTCTTGTAAAGAAATAGTTGCGGAAGGAACGAAACGAGAAACAAAATCTCCAGCATCACAACAATGTCCAACATTGATAGCAACGCTAAAAAGCGCCACCACGCAGCTCCACCGGACATTCAGCGTGGCAACAGACGAGGAAAACGACATCATCGTCGCCGGCCAGAACATCGTCCGCATCTTCAGCAGCGACACCATGCGGCTCAAAAGCGCCGTGGCTCTGGCCTTTAACCCGGAAGGGCTTGCGGCGTACGGCGACGAAATCTTCGTGACCGGAAACGGGCACAACATCCACGTGTTGAAGAAGAGTGGAGACAGCAGACGCGTGCTTCATGTCGAGGGGGTGCTGTCCCGACTACAGGGATTGGCAGTGGATACTACCGGTAGAATCATCGCAACTGAAGGGCGCCAAGTTTTCGTCCTTCTCCCAGATGGAACCGAGGTCTGTACATTCGATGTCGCTTCAGAGGGTGGCCCCGTTAGACTCTACCCAGCGACCAATAGCAGTGATCGTATCATCATCAGCGACCAATCAGGACACACCATCAAGCTGTACGACGCATCCGGGAACCTGATTCGTCAAATGGGCGGGAAAGGTAAAGATGATGGACAGCTGCTCAGTCCGGCAGACGTGTGCGCAGACGCAGAGGACAACATCATCGTAGCAGACACCAAGAACAACCGAGTTTCCCAGTTCAACCCAGAGGGAACGTTTGACAAGCACCTTGTTGTGGAAGAAAACTACGTCAGATTTCCATGGGGCGTAGCTATGACCGGAGACGGTAGACTTGTGGTGTCGTCATTGGCGGTCGGGCAGGCAGTCAAAGTCTTCGACCTGCACAAAAACTCTTCTTAAAGATTTAAAGAAGCCATCCAGCGATTATGTTAGATACAATATCTATGTACATAATATTAAAAAAGTTTCTGTCTAGCTTAGCTTTCTTTTCGTCTCTTTTGATGTCAACCGATTTTGTAAAAATATGGCAAACAATTTTTGGACCTATTTCAGACTGACTCAAAGCCAAGGACACTTTGACAACGCTACAGGGTATTTCAGTTATTTTACTGCATATGTATTATTATGCATTATCATATAGCCAAGAGTTCGCCACGCTCACTCGGTGGTTTATTTGGTGGTTATCGTACCTGATGACCTGGGATTATGTCACCATATTCACTTCGGATTGGGGCATTAACCCCTTTATTATTACACACATCTCCAGATGGATAGATAGATAGAAAGCCTCTTGTGTGTTTGTGTAAGAATAAATCATTAATTCATGGATAGATAGATAGATACTAGTAGATAGATGGCGCTGTCAGTCGAAAAGGGAAGAAATAGAATGACCGAGATTATACTGACGTACCAAATAGGACGCTATATTTAGTCCGGAAACAAAAAAAAAATATCACCGGAAGGCAACCAAGGACCTACTAGTACTTCCTGGTGTTAGTTACTCTGTAGATATATTCTCTGACGCTCTTTTTGCAAGAACTGCATTTTCATATTTGTAATTGTTCATTTTTGGGTATTCTGACATTTCAAGAAACGTCCTATGAAACAAATAAAACCCATATAATAAGAAAAAGACATTACAAAAGTTCATTTATGGTTAGGTGAATGGTGTGAAATTTAGTACGAAATACATTTGTACACGCGCAATTTATTTTCTATAAATATACATACCCAACTCAATTCGAATGAAATGATATCAAATCAGTGACTGTAAACGCCAAAAAAATGACCTTTGACACCTAGACAATGCCTTGATTACGGCAGATGTTTTTTTTTTTTTTGGGGGGGGGGGTTCTTTTCAATGCCCACGATCATGATAAGGAATACTCATTTTCACCTAAGGCCATGTTGATTTGATTATATGGATGACATCCGCGCGCGCATGAATTTTCGGCCGTTTCCAAAAAAAAAAGTTTTCAACCATACTGTAAATCGTACAAAGCAGTTGCAAAATGAGCAAAAATATACCATAAGTTACACAAAAAATTAATAAAAACTATACCAATGTCGTAGAATGCCAAAATCAAACGAAAAAAGACGAAATTGTCTTTTTCGCCAAACCATATTCTGTGCCATTTGCTCAACCCTCATGACCACGTAGATTTCATAATGAGAACAACATTTTTTTTTTGCAAAACTTTTTTTTTTATTCGCACGCGCGCATCAGTTTTGGGGCTCCCGGAGGATGTCATCCATATAATCAAATCAACATGGCCTAAGTTAAGTGAGGAAAGTTGTGTAAAGTGCCTTTCCCAAAGGCACAAGGTTGGTGACTTTAATAGCAGGGTTCGAACCCGGGACCTTTTGGTTCTGAGCTGAATGCTCTTGTGCTACACGACCCCACCATGTACGTAGCACCCTCCCTCATAGTTTCTAAATAATTACCGCCCCGAGGCGCGTCAAATATAGGCGTGTTGCCCTCTTACCGCCTAGGGTCACTTCTCCATTGTTGAGCTCATTGGGGACAACAATTTATAGTGTCAGACAACGCAACTGTCAGGAAACATGGCACGATAGTCATGCACACACCGTTCAACCGGACGCCAAGCCGTATGATCCAAGATTCAAGACCAACAGGATTTTACTCTCCAATCAGAGGTTGTGGGGGAATGATCGTTACCATTTTATATGTGGTCGTTTTTTTGTCGCTACCCCCACCGTCGGTGGCTGGTGACCTTCTCTGGCTAATGGATACTGCCTGGCGAATTTGATACTGTCTTTTGCCACCGAAAGAGATCTGCTTGGAGATTACAGGATTGACCGACAAAGGTGAGTACGTGTTTCCTTGTGATCTGGAGTTATGTCACATTTAATCTTATTTTACTCTCTGAAATCTTACATTTCTCATACTAGTAGGTTGTCAGATCAGACTATTAGTGACAAAAACGTGCAACCTTTCAACCTTACCAACACATACGTACACGCCTCTGACGAAATGGATTTGTTGAAGTTGTCTGCACGTATTTAGCGTTATTGGGGAATTAAGAATAAGTCATAGGTTTTACAAGTATAAATCTTGTAGATTTTGGCGTGAAAGATCGTTACATTTCTGACTGGATCGGAATGCCGGGCCTTTCTGACACTATGACAGTATTCTACTGTCAAATATGCCCAGCGGCAATAAATGTCGTTCACACGATCTACTGTATACGTAAGTCTGCATTGTTCAGGTTGAGGAAGTAACGCTGAGCATTTCAGAGCTCGCCAACTGCCAACTGACATAAACGAGGGCCTGCAAGCCCTTTTTCGTAAGGCGTAATCAGGCCGTTTTAGACTTCGTAATTCGTAGGCAGCCTCCGCAAAAATCAACGTAATTCGTAATAGGACATTAGCCGCAAATCGTAAAGTCGTAATCAGTTCTGAGACTTTAACGTAATTCGTACTAGGCGGCGAAAATTTTGCGTAATTCGTAACCACTACACCCCCCTCCCCTTGCAGGCCCTCATAAACAGATTAGACAAGTCTTTACTAACAGGCTAACTGGCTTTGTTGACTTTTCCTCTTGGATTTATTGTTCTATCATAGAAAACCATCCATACATGATCGAGTTGTGCAAAAGTAACAGGTGAGTAGTCTCTATGATTTGTTTACAAATTGTAGTCTTATCTTTTCCCCAAGGGATAAATCGTGTTTCCGTGTGGTACAGATTGTTGTTGTGATACTAGTAATTATGTTTACAACGTGTGGTCCCTGTACTGTCCAAGCAGATTCGCTGTAGCGTCCAGTCTGATCGTGGTCGGGGCCGTAAGAGCTCTGGCCCGCCCGCCTCACATAGGTTTCCCGGTGAGTGTTTCACGAGAGATTAATTAGCCCTATCGTGTTGGGGGGAAACCAAATCCCCAAGCATACTGTCTCTGATTAGCGTAACACTCCTACCGGGACGGTCTGTTGCACTGGGCGGGGGAAGCTATTAGAGCCCCCGAAGACACAACCTGCCCGAACACCCCAATACCCCCAATCACGTAAGACTGGATACCAGGCTAATTCGCTGGGGCAAGGGGACTTTATGTTGGCCGCCTGTATATACATCGTCCGCCCCACGACAGCTATATTCCTTGGAGATTATGTTCCTAAGTGTACCCCTCCCCACACAACTCAGCTTTGTAGTCAGCAGGGGTCGAAATACATTTTGGAATCAACTTGCAATGGTGCAGATGAAAAAAAAAACACAATTTACTTGCACCAAAATAGAAATACTTGCACCCCTCAAAAATAATAGGTACACAATTAAAAGTACATGCAGTAACTATAACTATAGTATCGTGTATATATGTGTAGTCTAGCTAATGAACCGTGATTCAAAACAAAATATTTTTTTCTTCTGTAACGTCCGTTGCTACATATAGCTCATATTCCCGACACGATATGTGTTCCTAGATATAATTCATATCCAAAAGGGAGATGATATAGTTACAGGTATGATGACTTAGATAAATCTACGGGTAGTATCAGTGGATAAAGCTTACTTGCACCGGTGCACACCAGCCAAAATTAGTTGCACAGCACCAAATTTACTTGCACCAACTTGCACACGAAGGGGTATTTGAACCCCTATAGTCACAATGGCTGAATGGGGCGATATGTGTGTGTCTGTCCGTGTGTACATATGATATATATATCATCGAGTATAAATAAAGGCACAAACAAAACAAACAAGGAAGACGGTCTATACTAATTTCTGGCTTCCAATTTGACACTCACGTATGGAGCCCAAAAATTGTGACGCTTTGATAACATGTTCAAACGCCGATGTGTATGATTTGATATTTCCTGTCATTATTGAAGACAATTTTGCCATTGTTATTGATATATAACTGCTGACACGCTCTGATCATGTTTAAACTTCCGGGTCAGGACAGAATATGTGTAAAAAAACTCATGTTAAATGCTCCGGTAAGCTAACGAAATCCATTACTTAGTTTTTTTCTCATGAGATTCAGTGTAAAATATATTATTTCCTTGATATGAGTCGATAGAAATGTTGTAAAAAAAATTAACGGCTCCTGGTCGCAAATGTGCTGATGTTGACACATTGGCGCACCAAATCCGTAAGGTGTTTTTGGCATCCAGTTAGACAATTAGCCTAAGATAGGTGGGGTCGTGTGGCGTAGCGGCAACGTTCTCGACTCGGAACCAAAGGTCCCGGGTTCGAGTCCTGACATGCCACCGATCTTGTGCCCTTGGGAAAGGCACTTTACACGACTTTCCTCACTTATCTCAGGTGTAAATGAGTATTGTATTGTCCCCTGTTTTGGTGACGGCATTAATATAAGTTGAAAAAACTTGAGTGTGCTGTCACCACGTCTTGTGATGTTTCGGAATATAAAAAAAAAAAAATAGCCTAAGAGGCTCGGTGGGCGTCACTCCACCGTACAGGTGGGGAAGTCGTGTAAAGTGCCTTTCCCAAGGGCACAACGTCGGGCCACGGTGAGTATCGAACCCGGGACCTCTCGGTGCCGAGTCCAGCGCTCTCACCGTTGCGCCACCGACGCCACAGAAATGTTGTAAATCCTTTTGTATGTCTCAAGGAACAAACGACCTTGGAATGACCTCGGCACACAAGTAGACACATGCCCGTAGCCAGGATTTTGAATGGGGGGGTTCTTCCCATTGCTTGAGGGGACCACGAGCGCCGTAGGCGCGAGGCGAGCACCGAAGGTGCGAGGTTCCTAGGGAGGTCCGGGGGCATGCTCCCCCGGAAAATTTTGAAAAATGAACCTTCTAAAACGGCATTTCGTGCATTTTTGAGAGGATTTCCAAAAAAAAATCAGAGATAAATTTTTATTCAATGACAAAGGGAGCAGTTTTTCTACGATTCCAGTCCATCTTTTCAAGAAAAATCTTGGACCTTTACATAAAAAGTGGACCAAAAAGTGGACCTTTACATAAAAAGTGGACCAAAAAGTGGACCTTTGAGCCTTGTGGGGGGTTCTTCCGAACCCCCCGAACCCCCCTGGCTACGGGCATGAGACAGACTCCTTTGGCAATACATGTACATGTCCTGTCAGGGTCACCGAAGTAGGCTTGCGAGCTGTTCTTTCTGTCCTTGACTCCCCAAGGCTACAGTTGTTACGTGAATACGTCGTTTGTACAGGGTTAAAACGATTGGTATTCGGTCATTTGATACGTTTGAAGTCTCAAACGATTAGGACCCGGTGTTGAGACAAATCCTTGAGCTGCCACACACGAGAGGTCAGGTGTTTAGGGCTAGGGTTATGGTTAGGGTTGGTATTCGAGTTAGAGTTGGGATCATTGTTCAGGGCTAGAGGATGACACTTACGATTGGGGTTATGATAGGTTTAGTTCCCACATCACCACGGCCCCTCCCACCCCTTGTCTCAGGTATTGGAAGTAGTGTCGGAGTCATTTATTTGTCAGGATCATGTATATGGCTCTCTGTGTATGTGTCAACCGAAATATGATCGATACTGTGTGTCTGTGTGTGTGTGTGTGCGTGTGTCTGTGTGCATGTGTGTGTCTGAGTGTGTGTGTGCGTCTGTGTGTATGTGTGTGTCTCTGTGTGTGTCTGTTCGTGTGTATGTATATCTGTCTGACCGTGTGTACGTGTCTGTGTGTGTGTGTCTGTCCGTGTGTATGTGTGCCTGTTTGTCTGTGTGTGTGTGTGTGTGTGTGTGTGTGGCTCTGTGTGTGTGTGTCATTGTGTGTGTGTGTGTGTGTCTGTCTTTGTGTGTGTGTCTGAGTGTGTGCACGTGTGTGTGTCTGTGTATGTGTCTGCGTGTGTCTGTGTGTGTGTGTGTTAAGGGTTAACCGAAATATGATCAATACTGTCATTTTTTCCACAGAGACATGCAGCGATGACAGCCACAGCGGGCGATAAAAAGCTGTTTATGGCATCTCTGATTTCCTTCGTCACGGGAAGGTACGTGTACATGTAGTCATGCCTGTTCATAGCTCGAAATCCTTTTCTGTGAGTGGAGGGAACATTGAGCACATGATTTTATTATACTTACAGCTACATTAAATGTAGCAAATAAAATTTTAAAAAAATCCACATACACCTGCAAGTATATGTAAACCCTGGACATGGCTCAGGGCAGGTTAATTAGGTACAGGTTGACATCACCTTCACAGCTCCAATTTTACCTGCACTAACCTGCATATACCCAGTACATGGACCAGTGCAGGTTAGGTGCAGGTAGACATCAGAAATACCTGCACAGCTCCAATTTTACCTGCACTAACCTGCATATACCCAGTACATGGACCAGTGCAGGTTAGGTGCAGGTACACATCAGAAATACCTGCACAGCTCCAATTTTACCTGCACTAACCTGCATATACCCAGTACATGGACCAGTGCAGGTTAGGTGCAGGTAGACATCAGAAATACCTGCACAGCTCCGAATTTTACCTGCACTAACCTGCATATACCCAGTACATGGACCAGTGCAGGTTAGGTGCAGGTTAGGTGCAGGTAGACATCAGAAATACCTGCACAGCTCCAATTTTACCTGCACTAACCTGCATATACCCAGTACATGGACCAGTGCAGGTTAGGTGCAGGTACACATCAGAAATACCTGCACAGCTAAAATTTTACCTGCACTAACCTGCATATGAAGGTGTTATTTCAAGTTCTGCTTTTTATTTCGCTAAAACTATTTAATATTATCCTTTCTTGTCCATTGAAAGGTTTTGCTGAGTTTTGTAAGTTCGGCACTAGTGCACTCAACTAAGGCAATTAAATATTGATATAATATATATCTTTTAGAACTGTTAGAGGATAAATATTATTTCCTAACTGAAAGTCAAATGTACTATGGTATGAATAGGACATATTATGTATATTTGTCTATGTCAGAAATACATTCAACATATAAAAGGCCCAAATTCTTAGTGTACAGATTAAACACTAAGAATATGGACCTACAATATGTATATGGAAGAATAAAAAAAATGCTTACCAAGGCCACACCAATTTAATTTGTTGGTTAACGTATTCGCCCGCTTCTTTTTTTGCTGATTTGCAAAAAAATAAAAATCAGAATCAACTGCAAAATGCTCATGCAAATGTTAATTGTTTAAATTTTGAACCAGCCTGGTGTGTTGACTTCATGGCTTCTATCGTACCATTTTGGGCCATAATAGGATGCCTAGGCCTGTTTTTATTATTCTTTTTTACGCCCGCCCGCTCCATTATTTTTCTAGAAAAATCCGTTAACCAAGAAATTAAATTGGTGTGGCCTAATTGTTAGAAATTTTGTACAAGTACATAGTCGTATCCCATAGTGCAAAGTGTCATAGTGTAGCTTATTGTCCTACATTGTTAAGTGATCAAAGCTATTATGCAATTGAAGCATTACGTTGTTGCATTTTCCACGAAATTATCATATTTTTGACTGTTCTTTGTTACGCCTACAGCATGCTTGTGTACCTGGACTGCTGGCTGTTGTCCCCGTCATGTTACGTCAATGTTTACACGAAAACAGTTGATGTGGAACAATCCAGAGTCCCCCCAGGCTACACAGCCCGGGCAATACTACGGCCGTTAAAAAATGACGAAGAGCGCCCTCTACCGTCCACCCCTGTATATACAGGGTGAGTACTGAGCATTGTTGACATCATTCATGACTTTTTCACACTTCCCATAATGCCTAGTAAAGATTACGGATATGACGTATGACCACCCCCTCCCCCTTCCTCGATGTGATATTTCGAACAAGTTCTATCGACAAACTGGTCAACTAATATTATTTTGGATTATTTATCAAGTACAAAGTGCATGCCATAATTGCATTTTTGTTGGAATTAGAGAAAATGACGTACCTTCTATCGTTCTACCTTCTACCGAAGACTCACCTACTCGCACATTACGTATATCCGCTTCTTACGTCATATCCGTGATCTTTACTAGGCATTCTGGGAAGTGTGAAAGTCATGGACTGGGACGCTTATGTGGTGACGAACGAAGCTATTTCTATTTGCATTACATTTTAAGGCCACAACAAGAAGTAAAAGAAAAGACATTCCCTTTGTCGTTTTATTATAATTGTTTCGGGAAGCTTAAGCTGAAAAGATATGAACATTTTAACAAATATGATATTTCATGTTTTATATTAACATTTCAGACTTATAGGAGAAAAACCGTGCGAGTGCGTCGGATTTTGGCATAAGGATTTTTACACACCAAAGCAGTGGACTATAAGGCTACGGAACCAGGAGAAATGTTTACAGAGATACGAACGAAGGTGAGCACCAAATTACACGCATTTATTGACCTAACGGCATGTTAATGTACTAACAAGAAGTTTTATGTACTAACAAGAAATTTTATGCAATCGCCGGCTTCCTAAAGCCCCGGTCACAACCCACCGTACGTGCTTTTTGTCCGTACGTTTTTTGGGAGGCTATGTCTGCTACGTTTTTTTCTGAAAACGCGGGGAAGGAGTGGCGTCTACGCACGTCACTCGCATGCACGGTTGCGCAAGGTGTAATAGTGTGGTCTGCACATCAAGTCTGGCCGTGAGCGGTTGCGTGCATCGTACGTTGCGCAAGTGGTAAGTGAGTTGTACGTGCTTACAACGTTCGGTCTCTGTGCGATTGCCACTTTACCGTAAGTTTTACATGCAATTAAAGTTCTACGGTGTGTCTGCGTGCTCCCAAATCCGTAGGATTCCGTACGGAGGCAGTACTCACCACGCACGGATGCCCTACGTTTGCCCACGTTTTTGCACGTAGACAGCACGCAGAAGCACGTACGACGGGTTGTGATCGTAGCTTAAATTTTCGAATAATGGCCACTAGTTCTTGTTGGACCCTGGCCAGATTCTGAGGCGTTCAAGTTTACCTAATTTCCTGTGTCTGGCCTTCTGATCGTTTTTTATTCTTCCTGCTAGTTTTCTCTCATCAACGTGCTGTCAACCTAAGTGTAGAATCTCTTCGGACAAATAGACCAACAGCTCAGCCACTCAAAACAATACTTCCGTCCTGGGAAGTAAAATACATGTACATCTTACTAATACTAGTGTACATCGGCCATTTAAGTGCCTGAATAGCCTTTTTTTGTTAAGATAAGACTGTCATTGGGTGGAAAATATGATCAACTTAATATGTAATCCATGCAAATGAGGCTCTTATTTGTGAAATCAATGATTAAGATGGTATAATTCGTCAACCGGAAGGGTTTATATCATTTGGCGAAGGTATGAGGTAGTGGAACTCTTGTATTATAGATGCATTATTGACTGTCTTGATGTTTAGAGCGAGGCTTTGTCATTGATGTGTATCCCCTTTTGATATTTTCCAGGAAAATAGTGTTAAAAAGTGTTCAAAACTATGTAGATGGATCGTCGCCCATCAGCTACCCCTCTCATGGTGTCTACGTCAGGCCGCTGAGGGCAGTGCAGCTTGATGGTAATATCATCTTCTTATATGCTGCTTTATTTTCCCTTTGTGGCACATTCGTATAAATTTATGTATACATCATATACATAAAGTGATAACTGGATATCAAGGACCCTACCTAGAACCAGGATGCAAAACACAGAAAGCAATCCCCGTGAATATAGTTTCATCAAGTTGTTAAGTTAATTACTAAGTAAAGAGACTCTTTTTACACTGTGTTTTATTCACAGCCGACGTTTCGGTGACTTAACTGTTGACTTTATAATTTGATGTTTCTTTTAGAATGAATATGACAAATATATGAATTTTTTTTAAATTTATTGATAATTAAATTGTTTTTGAAATATTTTCAGGCCTTCGAATTAGCTGGTTTCCATCAAAGGCCATTATCACCAACGCAGTACAAACGGTGAGTTAAAAACTTCCTAGTTATAACTATACATGAATATATGGAGCAACGTGTGGAAAAACAACTACTCTCTTCATTAGCATAAATGGTCATATGAATTACATAATGGAAAGGAAACTGAACGTGTTCTCACTCTCAAGAAAATTCGAGTTACCGGAATTTTCGACTGAATCTCCTGGTCTTCATCAGCAAAAGTGAGATAGACACGTGATTTTGCCGCACGTATGATGTCAGCACTGGGTCAAAGTTCGTCGGAAGTCGGTACCGCCCCTCGTCCCGGTTGAGAGAAGGTTGGTGTTATCACATCAAATGCCAATGGTCGGCGAAAAAAGGCCTTGCCAGCAGTCATACCTTGGTACCATGGTGTAACTGAACACTCGCAACAACGCTTTTTTGTCTTTTACAGGTAAAACTTCAGTGTGAAAAGGGGATTTTCAGACGGATTGCCAATGTATCTAACGTCGATGTTCTAGGAGAAGACACCAGTGTCATGACCATCCAGACATCAAAACCACTCCTGTTAAATAGACAGCTTCGACGAATTGTGTACCAAAACACTGTGTTTGACACCAACGCATTTGATCTAGGTAAATTCTTTTATTAATGCAGTTTTGTCTCCTTGGTATGATGAATACATTCTCATGCATTATTTCCATGAAACAAGCTGTCATGTATGTATCGGTTGTGTCGCAATTGTTATTTACGGTTTGTTCTTTATTTCATCTTTCAGTGAAAGTACAGTATAAGAAATTCAGCGTCACCATACCGATTCACATACGCCATCGTCTAATACCGTGGCTATATGAACAAGGATCAGGTACAGTGTTTCCTTATCTTTTTACCTCCGGGGGACGAGACATCCTTCCGCGGAAGGGTTTTGTGACAGATTTAGATTTTCATGTTCGCAGCTGTTTCTCGCGTTTGGGTGGACGGATTCTTTTGAGACTCGGTATATGTTTTGCTATTGTGCTGCAGATGATGCACGTTCTTTTGTTTTTATTGTATATGTGTTTTCGGGTGTGAAAATGGTGCCTTTTGATGGCCCCAAAACACCCCTTTGAGCGTGAAAGTGGTCGCGACCGTTGACCTTTGGCGTGTTTAAGCTATTCTCGGTCTGGTCCACGTATATGACCCCTCACACAGAGGGGTGTCTGGTCTCGATAAATTCTTTGTTTCAAACCCTATATAAAAATATACAATAAAAAGCCCGGAGGTATAAAATCTCAGATTTTACTTGTTATGACTATTTCCAGTTGCTGATCACTATACCATAGACTTATATGCCCACATATTATAGAAGAAGTGGGTAAATTCGTCTTCCATTGTCTAAAAAGAAGAAGTCAAACCCAGCAAAACCAGTACATGTATTTTGTAGAATATAGTATAATGTTAGACGTAGTCCCACATACCATTGTATTTTCTTTCTTCATACATGTTGCTTGTAACGGCAATTAGCTCTGGTCATGTATTTGTAATGAACTTTCTTATCATTATACTACTATGATATACTTGTTATTTGATACCAAGGCTGCTGTTCTAACCTCTTTGAAAAATGAATAGCCGAGCTTGAAGCTGGAATTTGATGAGTTATTAAAATGTTTATGTGGGAAAATTGCTTTGAAACTACAGGTGCGATCCGGGACAGAGTCAGTGTAGTAGTGAAGACGTTCCTCCGGTACAGCAATCTCAGACGGTTGGTGAGATCGGTAGCAGACCTGTATCCTGGAACAAGGGTCATTGTTGCAGACGACACCCCGTCCCAAAAGTTCGAGAGCTTCCAGGACAAGTACACTGATCACTACCTGATGCCACAGTTCAAGGTAGTCTTCTTTGTCATTATTAATTTGTCTTGCGGGACCCATATATATGTGGGTTGCACGTACAGTACAATCTATACAGCACCCTGTATGTGTACGATTTGGGGGTATGAATGCTGCCCAGAGCAAGAAACTAGATGGTACATATACAAGAATGTTAAGAACAGTGTATAATGTTTCATGGAGACAACATCTAACAAACAAACAAACAAACAAACAAACAAACAAACAAACAAACAACTCTATGGCTCTCTCCCGCCTATTTCGTCTGTAGTCCGACGACGTAGACTTGCCCTGGCAGGGCATGTTGTTCGTAGTAACGAACCAGCTGGTAGACTAGTACAGTGGCTTCCTACTGGGAGACGTAGAGTGGGACGTCCTTATACTAACACTTTTGTTCATATTAGAGAGAGACACTGGTCTCGCAGGGACTGTACTAGTGTCCGCTATGAGAGATAGGACAATACTGATAGAGATACTGGAGTAACTTTATCATCCGGAGGCATGATGATGATGATGATGATGATGAGGGTATTTCTGGTGCAACGCATCCCACCGCAGCGAAACGCAACGAATGGGGAAGTAAATATGCCACCGCAGGACAAAAAAAACACATGAAATTATTGAAAAATGTTGTGTACAAAAGCCAGCAGGACTAGGATTAAGAAAAGCTAATTGCTTTTGCTCAGTTTTTCTTCCTTTCCAAACACAACTACTTCTCTTCGTCAGTGACCGGGTCCAGAGAGCTGTCACCATGGTAACTGGTGCTGTAACAGACACTCTGTGTTGGGTTACATTATGTCGTATCTGCATCTATGTTTTTTTACCAGTTGTTTATCTCTTGGTAGGGTTTTTTCGCTGGTCGGAACCTGGGGCTGTCACAGGTGACTACAGAGTACTTCCTGTACATGGATGATGACCATTATCTCAAGCCCTACACGAAGCTGGAAGTCCTCGTTGCTCTGCTGGACAGAACAGACTTTCACGTGGTAAGCCATGCATTACAATACACCTTATAGTTAATCAGACTGTAGTTGTACATGTATATTCCCTATTTTTTAACCTTTAGGCCACACCGCCTTAATTTTTGGATGACATCCACGCTCGCATTGATTTTCGCCCGTTCTCAAATAAAACTAGAGGTCGGAGATCTCATGTCTTCGTCAGAGGTACATCGTTCTAGAGAAATTAACATGCGTATTCTTCACTCTTTTTAATAATCAATTTGGTCTAAAGAACAAAAGAATCTCTGTACTATTTTTATGGTACAGAACACCCTGAAACGGTTTGCCGCAGATTATACAGATGCGTCGTCACCCGTGTTAGCCCCCCCCCACGTTATTTGAGTTTGGACTGTTACTGGAAAAAAAACCTTCAAGAAATTCTTACTGTGTTGAAAGTGTCACGACAGCGCCGCAAAATACAATAAGAGAAGATGTTATAAAGGAAAGAATCAGAACAGGGTGACTACTGCTGTTTTGTTAATTTGTCTTTATGACAAATAGAAGACTTGTTTCTTGTGTTCTTTGTGTCCTAACATTTGTACTTCTACAGTTAGTATATTCCAAATCTAGGCATCTCGTTTTTCGGCCCTTCGTGTTTTTATTGCACGCTTGCCTTAAATTTAAGGTAATTAGATTTAAGGTCTCCAGGGACGTCATCCATAGCAATTACTTGGTGTGGCCGTAGAAAATAACCTGACATATGTCCAACCTATCCTCCCCCTGCTGAAGTTATAGTACAATCCCTCAATGTAACGTCATTTGATCCCATCCCATTATGGGGTTCCCTGGCTATATCCAGCTGTCGGCTGTCTCCAAGCAGATGTAGGTGGGGATTTCTAAACACAAAAGGTCCTATTACGGGGACATAACGACCTCCACGACTCTCATCTTTGAACTCAATCTTGGAGACCACCACAGTAACATTCAAATTTCATTAACTTCCATCCACACATACAAAAGTTATCCTGCTCACAAGAAAAATTAACAAAATGCCCCCTGTAGTCACAACGAAACCCCCCACGAAGCTCAGTAACGAACTTAACCTTGGTCCCGACAATAGTAAGCACCACACCAAGAATTATAATCAACATTTTACAAATACTTGAGTTATCTTGCTAACAAGCCACAAACACAAAAGGTGCACTAACGTGACGCACGGACCCCCCACGAAGCCGAAACTTGTACTTGACTTTGGCCTCAACAGCGGTAATATGCCTGCCAAAAATCATGGACGTCGAATCATGCCTTCCAGAGTTATATCGCAAATTCCGCAGTTCCCCACACTCCGGCGAGACAATTTCATAGTCCTTCTGACGAAGACAAAGATCACGTCCTCAGAGGCTCTGGCCTGGCTCTAGGCCTTGGTAGTCCATGGTAGTTAGCGACAATGTAGAGCCGGCGGTAACTATGGAGGATGGCACCCAAGCTCTACGACTAAAGAACACAGTGCATGCAGGGCCGATTAAAAAAATCCGCAAATGGTCAGCATGCGCCATAATACGTCGCTGTGTACTGTCGCAAATTCACAATACCAACTTTGTATTTCTGTGGTTTAGTAGTATTTTTTATTTTTGGCAGGGATTCTTATATTCGCCCACGCCCACTAGTTTGGGGGTCTTCAGAGGATGTCATCCATAAAATGAAGTCGGTTTGGCCTAATGTTTTTGACACATGCAATTAGTCTTCGGTTATGATTAGAAGAATTATAAAATAAAATATCCCTTCAATTTGACTAGAAATCTGGTGGCGTTAATGGTCAATCCATTGCCACTATATATAGCCTTTGATTAAAAGACTGTGGGACATTTGCATTTACATAGAAGTTTCATTAAAGACGACAACATCATTGCCATCGGAGAGTAATTATGGGCATTCATTAAATGTAGCAGACCACATGTGTGCCTACTGCCGTTAATTCCTTAATGACATAATTGTTTGGACAAAGAAGGTAATAATAAATTGCGTAGACCTGCAATTCGAATCAAAGTACTAGTATTCTACTGCTCTGCTCTAATCGTACAAAGTCTGGTTATAATTTTAAGTTAGGCCACACCAATTTAATTTATTGCTTCTCGGATCGCCCTGTCCTCTTTTTCTGATTTGCAAAAAGAAATAATTTTTGTTGGTTCTAAATTAACTACAAAATGCTCATATTTATATTTTGGCCCCAACGGTTGAAGAGAGTCCTTTTCTTCCTAGTTCTTAAAGTTTTTCAATGTAACAATGCAATCTTGTTTAATTAAAAGTTCAAAATCTATTGTTTTGATTATAAACCAGCCTGGTATGTTCACTTCATGGCTCGTATTGTAACATTTCCGGCTATCATGGGGTGCCTTGGCCTTTTTTTCCGCCCTGTCGCTTCATATTTTTTTTCTGAAAAAATCCGAGAAACAACAAATTAAATTGGTGTGGTCTTATGTTGTATTGGATCATCACAGGTTGGCGGGGTGTATGAAGATCTGGAGATGTTCGCCACTACCATCCGCGTGTTGGGAAACTCCACACATGCGTGTTACGAGAAGCTACGCGGCTGGTATCACAGTGTGACTGGATTTCCAGGTGAATATTGTCTTCTTTATATTGCCTTTTTTCCCCAAACCTGCTTTCAGGCTTTGAACTTTTGAATATGTGTTGCATTTATACTATCATGAAAGTTCATCTGGGTTGGTAGCTACATGTTTAGAGTTAAACTTTTGGTCCAACACAAAAAAGTTATCTCACCTAGAGCTTTCGACCAGTCACTCTGGTCTTCCTCAGTAGACTGACCCAGTGAAGCTTGTCACATGGCTTCTTGTCATGTGACGTCAACACTGGGTCAAAGATATATGTTAGACGATGTCGGCCCCCGTCGCGGTTCAATGAAGGGTAAGGATCATTGTAAGGATTTTTGACACTGAACAAGACTATTTCTTGAGAGGGTTAAAGGAGGCCATATACATCAGGGCCCATCACCCTTTTTGTGTTGGACCAAAAGTTTTCACTCTAAACATGTGTTGCATGTATTCTCTAGGCTGCTACGCTGTTGACCATACGGAGAATTTCTTTCTTGCTTCCACGGCGGAGGTCAAGGCCATCGGATTCGATCCTCACGTAGCGCAAAGCCGGCTGGGACATCAAGGTACAAATAGAAGTTTTTAATAATCTTTCAACTTACAGTGTCGTACATGATAGTATAGTAGCCGGCGTACTGATGTATGGTTACTCTGGCACTACATTTTCTTTGATTTCAGTATGTGGTATTTGCGAACATCTGCCAATGGTTGTGTCACATAATGCATTACCTTAATCTTATCTAGTCCCATCCTCATGCCCGAGGGTCGGGGACTACGGTGGCATAGTGTATATGTAAGCGTTAATGTATTTTGGTATGAAACGTAATGGCATAATATAAATGTATATATACAAATGCTACTATATTATAATCTTTATTTGCAAAATCATGCCCAAAGGCTAATTGCTTTCACAGTCAAAGACACTATTCGGTATAATACAATGATAGTAGACAGACAACTACTTGTCTGAAAAAACTTATATTACTACATGTAATACTACGCTAGCTATTATGAGGTTTGACTTCTTCTTTGAAGGCAGTGGATAATGAATAGTCCCACATTCTGCATAATGATAGGTTTTGTGATCTTAGTAGACACGTAGTCATTTGGTGATCTTCTAAATGTTGCAAGTATGGAGAAATTTTGGTAACTGTCTGAAATAATCTGTTTCTGTCGGTCTCATAGTGAGAACATTGGCTAACAAAATGTTTTTCATTTTCCACTGCATGCATATATATGTATATATACAAATGCATATCTTAGTTAAGTTGTCAAACTGGTGCAATGGCCAAGTGGGAATTTACATTTCTAAATATATACACAAAGTAATGACCTGTTAGACATGTATAACTGCGTTACATTTTTTATTACAAAAAAACAAATAAGTGTACATTGCCTCCCTTATCATACATTATAACGCAATATCCATATATTATAGTCATCATCGTCATATATTATTAAATACATTATATATCATCATATATTTTCATCATAATATATTATTAAATACATTAATTGGGGTCATTCAGTGGGGTCGTGTGGCGTAGCGGTAGAGTGCGCGACTCGGATCCTAGAGGTCCCGGGTTCGAGTCCTGACATGCCACCGATCTTGTGCCCTTGGGAAAGACACTTTACACGACTTTCCTCACTTCGATCAGGTGTAAATGAGTATTGTCCTGTCATGTATTTGTCCCGTGTTGGTGGCGGCATTAATATAAGTTGAAAAAACTTGAGTGTGCCGTCACCACGTCTGGTGATTACATGTTGGAATAAAAAAAAATACATTATATATTATCATATATTATCATCATGATATATATGCTTATGCATTCATAACAAAAGTTTTTTTCTTATTTTCTCCCAATTCATGTAGAGTTCTTTACCGCCGGGCTAGGAAGGTTACGTATAGCGGTCTGTAGTAACATCATCGTCGGCCACAACAAAACCACAGAAGGCTTGGACGACAAACTGTATCAGCAGTACCGAGTTACTGACAGGGCCTACCGTAACATGCGGATCAGACATCACCTGTTCCGAGACAATCTCACCTGTGTAGGAGTCAAATATCCAAGGTAAGGTTTTTCACTTTGCTTCTTAAATCAGAAAACAGACAAAGCGGGATCTTTTGTTCCTCTGCCTTAAAAAAAGAAGTCATACACAGTAGCTTTTAGGAGTTTAGCAGTAGTTCTTTGTCTATCAATTTGCCTGTTCTTATATGTACTTGCCAAATGTTTCTTCTGTACTTGCAATTAGCCCTCGGGCATGAATTTGCAATAAAAAACAATTTAATTTAATTGACTAACCGATTTAGACGACCCCATGCCCACATAGTCCGGGTGAGGGAGTGTCTTTTTGCCAATATCTGAACGGCTTCAGAACCACTAATTTGATAAATTGTTGAATAAGATTATGTAGCAACAATGTCATGATAGATAACATGAAATATCTTTAGATATAGACATCATTTTGACGTATTTTTTTGAATATTTTAGTATTCAGTAGATGATATTAGTATTGTTATAATAATTCAATTGCAAATTATTGATTTATGAGAGAATCGGGTGTTATGACATGGTATATCAAGCATCTTCCTACATTGTAAGTCAGCTTCTTTTCTTTATCGTTTCCAGGAATTTGACGCTTCTACAGAGCTTGAGAGACCCAAACACCCCGCAGCAAGTAAAAGACAGAAGAGAGAAGGAAGGCTGGTCTTTTCTTAAGGGGCTGCTAAATGAGAGTCACTCACTCCACGGATTCGTCCACGGAAAAGATGAAGACTGAGAAATTTAGCTAGACACTTCATACATGCCCGTAGGCGCTAGGCGAACGCCGAAGGCACGAGGTTCCTTGGAGGGTCCGGAAGCATGCTCCCCCGGGAAATGTTGAAAAATGAACCTTCTGAAATGGCATTTCCTGCCTTTTTTAGAGGATTACAAATAAAAAAAACAGAGATAACTTTTCCAATGACAAAGTGAGCAGTTTTTCTAGGATTCTAGTGTCGCTGGTGACACGAAACAGTCCATCTTTTAAAGAAAAATCATGGACCTTTAGATAAAAAGTGGACCAAAAAGTGGACCTTTGTGGGGGTTCGTCCGACCCCCCTCCCCTGGCTACGGGCATGTCATAGCAACATCAAGCTGCCACTGCACTGCTTGCATGTATGAGGCTTCACGTCACCATCCGAAATAACGAATGCAAGCCCTCATGCATGTTCCAGAGGTTTAGAACGTCCGCCCTCTTAAAATTGATCCATATAATGAAACCTAGGGATCACTAAGCACATGCGCTAGTAGAAATTGTACTTTGTAAAATTAACATTTTGCTAATGTTTGCATAATATTTGCTTTCGGAATTCGAAATGAATACGTTTAGCTTGGATTGAGTATTTCTTTTTTGCTGATTGAACAGTAAACTTGCCCAATCAGTAAAAGGCCATACATTTGTAATCACCTAAACTATAAAAATCTAAATTTCAACTGTCTTTGCTGAGACTGATATTTGTTGCATTTTCTGCTGATGTAATTTTGTTGCATTTTCTGCTAATATAATTTTGTGCAATCTTTTGCTTTCTGTATATCTTTCATTATGTGCAATATAATAAATATCCGTATTAAAGTAGATATGCTGATATGTTGTGTTCATTCACTTTTTAAAACGATTATCGCTCATAACAATTATTGTCGTATCCTTATCAATAACCTTTTGCTTTCAAAGATTTGGACGGCCCCATGCCTTCTACATTATTTCTTCTTATATAATCTTTTTTAAATTTCCATTTCTAGCGGTATTCACAAAATCTAGTAGACAACGTGAAATACTATGTAATGCATGAGATTCCTTATACTATCATATAGTATACAAGTGTTTAAAAGCGATTACAAAGCAGGTGCCTCATAGTCTTGGTTTTAGTCAATCTGCGCAAGGAAATTTATTAATTCTTTCAAGTTTTAGTCAGTGATATTTTCAACTACAGTCATAACACCACATTCCATAGCATGCGACGAATGTGGCATCATAATAATCATCAAAATTACTGAATTGTTCAATTAATTCAACTAATTATTCAAAGTTTTTGACATTTCTTTTGGGCACCTGCATCATAATCACACGTAACAATTGAGGCGGTAAGCCACGCCCACAAATTTTATGACACAAAATGATTGATTGATTGATTGATTGTTGGTTAGTCCAGATAAGGCCACAGCAAGTAATTTTTATGGATGACATCAGCGCATGATTAATTTTCGCATGATTTTGGAAAAAAAAATAGTGGTCAACATGCCGAAAATGGGCAAAGATGTCTGTTGTCATGCCGGAAGGTGGGTGGCAGATAACTATGAGGAGAGGAGACAAGAAAAGGATCCGATTAATTGTTTTGTTTCTTATTTTGATGCAGTGATATGTGATGCTGGCTGTGTATATGTGATGTTCTCAGTGAATCAAAACCATTTGTACAATGATCGAGTCAAAATTTTAAATTGTAGGAACCTTTTTTTTTCGGCCCGCCTTGTTTCTTTCGCCCGCTCGCATTAAATTTGGAATCTGCAGAGGATGTCATCCATAAAATTTACTTGCTGTGGCCTAAGATGACACCAGGTAACGCGCACATCGAGTCATTGCCACCGGGAACCTGACCTGGGATACACCTAGGCTGTTCATGTGACTAAAACGACAACAATCGGTGAGTTAGTGTTGTAAAATACCTTTTTCAATGCTCAATCTATACAATATTTTCAAGACTTTTAAATGCGTTCCCGCACATTGATACTGCAAATTTCCATGTACCGCTAGATGGCATGAATTAGTCACCGATTGTACAGACTGAAAGGCTCCTTGAGTAAAATCTCTTTCTTTAACTACAAGACTAATAGAGCTGTGTTCTTTTATAGTCGGTCATCTACAGCTACCATTGATAATATCTGCTTACGTAGACCAATTTCTGTACACTTCATTCCATAAGCGATAACATGTCATCAATACATGACCATATGGTAACTCAAATACTGTTTAGATAGTGGTTTGTAGTAAGTAAAGTTTTGTAGTGTTGTTGTATTACTGCCACACATTGTACCTTGTACGATTGTTGAGCAATAAAGTTCATTCATATTTATATTCTACAAACAAAAATCTCCTAACTACTAGTTTTTGAGAATCAAATGGTAAGTATCGCTTTTATTACCAGTCTTCACATGCACACATTCTACCTAATCCCATGTGCACAGTTTGGTCAAATGCGTTCCACCGGCCACTGAAACAACTGACGACCCGAGCAACAAAGGTCAAGAACGACGGGGCAATGCTTTATTGGCCATCATGAGGCTTATATTAGGTGTCAGGAGCAATAAGCGTCTTATTGTTCCCCGATCATATTCTCCGTCCCATTTCTAAGTCATAACATCGGCTCTGATGCTGGATATAACTCTTTAGAAGCCTTGGTTTGCCTGGAGGGACACTTTGTTGTCCGCTCGCTCGGAATTTACAGAAAAGTTGCAATACAACATGATGCCCTTTGATGGATGTTTTAATATTTCCATCTTGCCTTGAACAAATTGCTCTTGCGCTTGTTCCCGGAACATTTCCGCTATCAACCTAAGCTTTAAAAATTGTAGACCACAGGAGAATTCCATCCTTCCCGCCGAGCTTTCAGAAAGAAACGATGCAGGATCTGGTTCAAACATCAAAGTTGCCTTCGTCGCTGATGGATTCATTCAATAACTTTGCTTCGCTCTAATGTCTGGCCTTATTGATGCTAATGGAGGACATTTGTCTTGACAATGGGTTTCATTGTTCCCTAGTTTCCAGGAAAAATGCCTTCTCTAACTCTTCTGCGTCCGAGAGACCGGAGACTCGGATCTGCTGGAGAAGATAAAATCCCCGCACGGAGACAGGTTCAGCGGATATGTATGGTGGGAGTTAGATAACGATGGCAGCCAGATCACCGTAGGGAAGGTGCCTTGATCGATCACCTCGTACTTATCATTTATTTTAGAAAATATCATATCCCTGGGGTTGTACATACCCTTAAGTACCTCCATCTCCGTTGGTTTGATGGAATCTCGCGGGTTTTCTGGATTTAATACTTGTCTGATAAAGGATGATAGTAGACAGAAAACTTTGAGGGTCTATAGTCGGTGCACATAGCTACTTGCGTCGGAAGATTATCCTTTATCATCCCAATGGCATGCCAGGATACTCCTGCTTATACATATAGGAAGCATATGAATGAGTCTCAAAAGAATGTTTTAGAAGAAAAATTCTATTGAGAATAATTGTTATGGGTAGGGCTTAATTTCTTGTTCAATGAGATTATTTAGTGTAACCTGATTGATATGTATAATGGGAGGTTATTAACCAAAAGTAAGTATTTAGCCTAATATAGAAGACATGTCTAATGCCATGTATAAACGTTGGGAAATGGCCAAATCACCACCGGATGAAACCAAGGCGTTGCAATGGTAATATGTTTTACATTTGATGATGTCCGAATTGCCACTTAAAAGGGTACAATTCGTTTTCATGTCATGATGAATTCCACAATAAGAGACAGTTATTTAATGTTATATAAAATTATATAAAATTAGGGAGTGTCACAGTTATGTAATGTTATAAAAAACAATACAGTTAGTAACAGTTATGCATATGTAACGTTAGTGACAGTTATGTAATGTTATATAAAACCAGACAGTGACAGTTACGTTATATAAAACTAGACAGTGACAGTAATGTAATGTTAGTGACAGTTTTGTAATGTTACATAAAACTACACAGTCAGTGACAGTTATGATATGATAGTGACAGTTATGTAAAGTTAATATAAACTAGACAGTGACAGTTACTCAGTAGAGTTAAGACCATTTCACGACCCCCCAGCAATTTGGGCGTCGGCCGCCTTAGAAACACATAGATACAACCTTTGACCCTGAATTTTCCAGATTTCTCCTATTGTTTGATAATTGCCCTGGCCCTGCCCAGTGTGAAAACATTGCAAGAGGGGTGCCGGTTGACCAGGTGAAGTGATACCTGGCCTCTGTGGAGTGTGAAATGTTTGGCTGTCTGGGAACAGTGCTAGATGTGTATTATACTTGACAAAGGATTCCATATGTCTAGTGTTTCTAATTTGTGTGATTCCCAGATCTCAACAATACACACTGGTCGACTGTTCTGTCAAATGTGACATTTTCTTTGCAAATAGCCTGACAAGGCATAAACCTATAACACTCAGAGACTTTAGTAAAGGAGAACCTGAGTATATTTATCATAAACACCAGGGGTACTGTTGATAATCAAAAGTCTCATAACCCTCCACTGTTTTTCTGGATTTGATGCCGTTTTGTTTGTTTTGATGAGCAATTTTCATTACAGGACTTAGGAGAGTACTCTTATACTAGTGTTTAGACTAGTGGTTTGACATAGTTAAAACCTTTCACACACTTTCTTTCGAATTTTGGTAAGTTGTAGCAGCTCTATAGAACCTTTTTGCGTCTGGGAACAACAGACGATAAACTGGATAGTGAGTGCGCCAGTGTAATCAACTTGTTAAAAAGCTTGCGCCAACCAAATTATAGTTATACTTTTTGATGTTATCGACTTGTTCCTTATGTTGTTGTAGAGTATGTTGGATCAAGAAATGGATTTTTGATAGTCTTTTTCTAGTCATAGTAATTGGAACCCTGAAACAATGGTTGTTTATTGTTGATAAACCAAGCCAAGCTGGCTGTCTGGCACTAGCAGGTAAAGGTGTGGACAAGCCGTGAACTGCCTATTGTTCTCCTCGGGTAGTCTGGTCCCCAACAAGGAACATGCTATGTCAACAAGTTAATTGGCTGTATTGTCCACTTATCCCAACAAAGTGATCAGATTTCAGTTCATAAGAAGCCAGAAGTTCAACTTTTGTGATCTTATTTTTACCCTAAAAGCGCATCCACACACAACATTCTTTTGAGTTACTGAACACATGTATAGAAAGTAGACAAGTTGTTCTAAAACAGTGTGTCGGGCCCAGAGTGCACAACATTTCCAAGACTTTGCTGACCCTGTATGAATATTGGAAACATGTGATTTTTGCCAAAAATCTG